ATGGAGTAATAGCCTGCAGGGTCCAGCTAAATATAATATACGAACGTAATCAACCTCTGTGATGACTATTCAGAAGTAACGCCTTTAGCTTTGAACTGCAACACATATTTCAAAAAGGCAAAAACCTTATGAAGAAATTCTCTGCAGACCACACTGATACAATACCGCCTTCATCTCCTGCTCTGTGCGCTTGCTGCGTACAGTGAGTTTTAAATTTAAGGTAATAACTGCTGTATATTCATGTGCGCGCACAACAATACTTTTGATTTGTTGTGGAAAGGTTGAATCCATTACCGGGGTCTAGTCTATAAACTCTGACACAGCCTTTATGTATGAGTTATTATTTACCCTTTTTTAGTAAGGCCACTAAAAATGTTTTGCATGACAAAATTATAAAAATTCATTTGCCTTTTCAGTCACAAAACTACCAGGTAGCATCCTTTCCATTTCAATTTATACTCCCCTACAGATAACGCTTTCAAAATCTCGTTTATATATAATACTGTATTATATAAAAATTATGTTAACATTGTTTTCAAGTAAAGGGATGGGATTGTAGGCTTATTACAGTTCAGCATCGTTGACTTGTTCTACTGCTCTTTAGTACAAGGTAGGCTAAAAGATGGTAAAATGAGATCCTTTTATTGCCCACTTGTGGGAATCTGCCCTTTGAGAGTTGTTACTATTAGCAACAGGGAAGTACTTGTTTCTACTGGAATGGTAGGCAGTGTAAGCAAATACCATAGTCCCAACTGTGCACTGGTTCTGGTCCCCCTTGCTGGAGTGATATGGGTTCTAATCTTCCAGCTTCCTTGAAGACCTTACAGATCAAATATCTCAAATCATATCCTAAGTCAGACCTACAGTAGGAAACCTGGGTTAGGAATCAAAATGAGTGCTTTTGCAAGATGGAACCAAGATGCAACAATCCCACGATGCTCACTTTGCTGCAGATGAACAGAAGTCTGAGAACACCTGAGTGAGGACTTCAGCTGTTCCCCTGTGTAAATTCACCTTTGCTAAGGTTTCCTAACACAGCGGGTGTGAATATCTTTTATGTAAACTAGCAGCTGTGGCCCAAGTTGAGTAAAAGAATAACTCCAGATACAGCTAGCTTTCTCAGAGAATCTACTTGGGAAATATTCCACAATAAAAAAAAAAATCACCTCTGCACAACATCTGGGGAATGAATGCTAAGCGATTATTTGAGACCAACCAAGCATAATTTCAAACTTGGAAAACCTAGGAATGACTTCTCCAGCTTAAGAAATATTGTTCCATCCTTCCAAACCAAAGGGAATGCTGTTTAAGACATTAGATAGTATCAAGTAGGCGGCAGGGTGTCAGGGTGGTTCTATTTATTGTCGTGCAATGAAACTATTAAACTGAGAAGCCCGCAGTAGTTCTTTACCTCAAAGAGTGATAGAATATATTAGTTAAGGTAAAGGCTAAGCTTCTATTTCAGAGTCCCAAAAGTACAGTAGCTTAAAAGTATAGAAGTTTGTTTCTCCCGCAACCCTGAAGTGAGCCGTTGACATTTACAATCTAGTCCCACAGGCATTCAGGGGGCATGACCTTCCATCTTATTGCTCCACCATCCCCTAGGGCAGGGTTTCTCAATATTGCACTATTGAAATTTTGAACCAGATGATTTCTTTTTGTTGAGGAGAAGGATGGGGAATGGCTCTCATGAGCACTGTAGGGTATTTAATAGCATCCCTGCCCTCTACCCACTGGATGCCAAGAGCACTTACACCTACCAGTGTTGACAACAAAAATATCTCCAGATATGTCCAAATCTTCCCTGTGGAGCAAAGCCATCCCCACTGAGAACCGTTGACTTGGATGTTGTCATTGTCTGCATGGTAGAAACGAAATCATAGTTTTCCATGTTCAAGATTGAGGAAACAGGAATGTTAGGCAATGGATGCCCAATGCCTAACACTCAGACCTGGAGGAGGATGTATCATTCTGTCCACATTCATTGGTGAGAACTTAACTCACGTGGCTTCAACCAAATATGTATATGCTGAAGGGGAAGATCTAGTAGAGTGCAAAAAACAAAAACCCTGGTAAGTGAAAGGCAGAAGGAATTACTGGAGCCATGTCTTGTGTAGGCAAGAGAGGAAGAGACCTAGCGAAGAAGGAGAGGAGTTGGCCTTACATGGGAGCATGGGGAATACGGCGTGTATCAAACAGGAACAAGTAAGTCAGTAACTCTTGACACGGAGCCTGTGGAAGCCTTTTCCAGCTATGTTTTATTTCCTCTCTGAAACTGGAAAATAAAGAATCAGCTGAGAAGAATGATGCATATGGAGGGTTGGAGGTTTGAGAAAATGGAAGAAAGAGTAAATCAGTCATCTAGGAAAGCAAAAGAATGAGTGGACTCGAAATGTTTAATAGGATGGCCTGAAAGTATTAAGGGCTTCCTAATGTCTGTGACCATGAATTTTGTTTTCATTTTTCAGTTTATTAGGTAGAATTGTTACAATTTGACTGCATGTACACACTATATTGCATATAAATACATATACACAATATACTGCACCTTTTTTTTAAATTTACATATATGTACTGTTCATTGTTTCTAAGAACGTTTAGAGCTTTAGCTTTTTAAACTTACATAGTTATCAAAGGAATGAAGACAACCACAAAATAAGAATTAATTCAAAAAGATACACCCCACTATTAACAGCAACATTATTTATAAGTGC